CTTGCTTGCTTGCTTGCTTGCTTGCTTGCTTTTTTCATTCTCCATTTCTCTCACCTTCCTTCTCTCCTTTCTTTCATCCACATCTTCTGACTTTCCTCTTTTCTTTCCTTTCCGGTTTTTTTATTCATATGATTCACAGCTAGACTAAATCAATCACAAAATAACCCTGAAATAACAAGCAAACAATGCTAAAAACTAAAGCTCTTTGTATCTTGTATGCTACCATTAATTATGCTAACTTCAACAAGCAAACAAAAAAATTAAAGTAGTTATGCAGTCAATGACCATAGTATATTTAATGAAGGCCAAAGACCTCATGGTCTATTGACTCATATACTATGAGGGCGAGAGGTCTAATCTAATTTTAGTATAAACCAACTAATCAGTCAAATAAATAGATACAAAAAATTTTGAAATGAAGTTAAAAATGCAAGTTAGCCACCATTGTTTTGATATTCAAAACTGGCTTTCTTCACTACCAGTGGTATATCGCCAATAGACCACTAGTAGCTCATCCAATCAGTGACCAGGATTTGAGATAGACCATTAGAGTTTTAGACTAAAAGATAATAATGTCTGGAAGTTTATTTCACCTTCTGTAGCCTTTTTCGAAAGACTAATGGAAGTAAATAGAAATGATAAATAATCCAATATGCATAAAACAGGGCTGTCAACCCCCGAGATATTCAAATCTGGAGAATTGATAGGGAAGGGACATGACATCACAGCGYGTCAAAAAGCGGCAAAAAGACTTCTTTCGCTTTGTAACATTTGATGTGATTGGTTTATTTCTGACCAATCAGATTATCGCTTATATTACAATGGCCTGCTTGCAAGAACAGTTTATGAGGAATGTTTTGATTTTGTTAGCGATTTAAAATAACACAAACAACACAAAATAATTGGAATTTTATGGTTGTGAAAGTCGAGTCTCACAAGAAATGGTCAGCTTCGGCGATTATCCGGGAGATTTGAAACTCTAATCTGGAGAGCTGGAGATACGGTCCAAAATCTGGAGACTCCTGGTTTATCCGGGAGAGTTGACAGCCCTGTAAAATTTAAAAATATTTTTTTCACGAAAGTCTATTTTAGCATTTATGATTTTTAACTTAAAGAAATACATATATAGGAAATTTAAATCTGTTGCTTCATATTAATTTTCATTGAAATAGTTTTTGTAGGATTAACTCATAGAAGAGTAATTATATTATATAAATATGATCTTATAATGTATGAATTTCATATGAATTTGGTATATAACACTTATTACAATAAAGTTAGTCACCTGAAAAGCTATAAAGCTGAGGCCGACAAGGATTATGGGTAGATTCATTTTACGCGTTCAACCTCTTGATAACTGTTCATGGACTTGCGAATCATTTACCGGTTACAGTCTCACCTCTTCTGAGCATCATCGAGCTGCAGTTTGTATTAAAAAAGCTTTGTATGTATATGCTTTTTTGATATGAAAAGTTTCCCATGATGCTCAGTGATCTCAGCTTTCTAGGTTTTTGGTGTCTAACTTTATTGAAATAAGTGTATTAAGTTTAGGGTTTTAAGACCACAATTAAAGTTCTGACCATGTAATAGTAACATCAATGTAATTACTAGTTTAATCAAAATAAGTTTCGTTGCTATTTTTATTATACTTAAATAGATCTATAAAAATCTAAAGTCAAAGTCTAAGCTTATTCATGCAGGCAATTTATTTTGGAAGTTTTAAGGACATAAAATATGCACAATCTAAATTTTAAAAAGTAATTTTAGTACCATAATTTTCGAAAACATTTAAGTTCTTTAAATATGAATTAAGATTAAAATCGTTAATTTTGAATCATGATAAAAAAGTTTTGACATTTTTACTAGGATTTTTTTTTTTTTCATCTTCACTCCTATTTTTGATTTTCCATCATGATTCCTTTTTATATTTTTATTATTTGAATGTAAAAAGCAGTTTTGAAATACCCAAGGAAGCAGATAAAAAACTCAACGAATTTCCTGTCAAGGAGCCTGAAGGGATCCAGAGGTATTACTAATACTATTTAATATTATTAATATATTACTAATACAATATTGATATACTGATGATTAATACCACTTATGGACCCTGATGGCTCAAAAAAATACTAAYATATTTTTATAGATTTTGATAATATATTCATATCATTAATAATCTATTATTAATCTGTTAATGACTAATATATTAATGGGACCCAAAAATGTCATCAATTAGTATTTCATCTTCATAACAGATGGCATATTACATGTTATGTTAGATTTCATTTTTTGGGATGCAGAAAATATACCTTTTCTCAGAAAAAAACAAGGTGCATTCTGGTATAGCTTGGGTACAAACAACACAGCTAGCAATTTCGAATTACAAAAATAATGAAAACTTTGAATGGGGAGAGGGAAATTGGTGAGATTGACATGAGCTGATAGCGCTATCTCTTGCAGCTGTGTAGTTCATGCCTGGCAAGGCAGGTTCAATTACGACTGAGCCCTGTGTGTGAGTTGAATTTGTTTGTTGTGTTGTTCTCTCCCTTGCCTAGAGGTTCTCCAGTCTTCCTCCCTTCGTAAAAATCAACATGTGAGTTGAGGGCTGTATGTCGTAAACAGTGAATGTGGAGTGAACCTCATGGAAGACCGCAGTACGGGGAGTGATGGTCGTGAAATATATGTTTATAAGTATAAGATTATGAGCATTCCAAGGAGAGAGACATTTCCTTGGTGAGGTTGTGTGTTATAGATTTTACATATTTTTGCTCATTTTTTTCAAGTGAGAAACCAGTCATTGAGCAGGCTGTCGTCAAACAAGAAGTTAAAACAGAGGAATCTGTGCCAGATTTGCCACCCAGGTAAACAGTGTGGCCATGGCAACAAAAAATGATTGACAGTTTAAATTATTCACTCATCATTCTTTGCATGTTCTATGAGATTTCTCTGTAGAAGTTTGTCCTTCCTTAACTGTAGAAGGTTATGTGTGTAGTTAACTGGGGTTGCATGAGATTATCTCTTTTTAAGCACAGTTAAATATTGATTTCATAATGCGATAATATTATTGTAGTTTACGAATCATCATAATCATTAAATCATATATGTAACAGTAATGTTTGGGTAAATAACTAAGTTTAAAAAAATTTATACTATTCTTGAGAGTGCAAATAATATAACCGTGAAACTTTAGTAATACTAAATAGCACAATTTTATGCAAATTCCATTGTTTTCTATTGTTTAATTAGCACTATTTTGTACTATTTAGTAATTAGTGTTTCACGGATTAATTGTTTGCACTTTAATATACATCTCTAATAACTAGTGTTAAACTTACCTGCAAAACTTTTTTTGCTCTTTCTTGGTGTTGCAAGGCAACTGATACACAAAGACAATACAACAACAGCCAAGGATAGTGAATTTGGAGTTTAACAGTACCCTGTAACTTGCTCTTACGACACCAAGAAAGACACATTGTATTTATTTTTGCTAGAAAAAGTTTCTTGTCTCGTAAAAATTTTTCCTTAGGATTAATTAAATTTCTTGGAGCACCTTAGTTATGTGGCTATCCATCTTGCATGACTCTTGCATGACTCTTGCACGAATCTTTTGCATGAATCTTTTGCATGATGTTATTAGACTACGAAGTTATCATTATTATTATGAAAATTTATATTTCAAATGTTTCATCCCAATGGCATCCCAATGAGGTAACCATGACTCTGGTATCTGTGGCTGTTGTTGCCAGTGGTAACCAAACAATCTACTTCAATTCAAGTTGCTAATAGCGACAGAATTGCTGTCACATGACCTAAATTCACTGTTGATAGCTACTTCATGTAACACTAAAAGCGTTTTCCTCGGTTGAAGTCACAATTGGCCATCATGGAATTGAAATGCCGACAAGCCAAGCCCAGCGCATATGCAAACATGCTGCAACAATGTTTTGTATTCTTGTTGTATCCAATTCATAAAAGAAACTATGGTTTTTCGACTGATATTCTTCTTTTTTACCATGTAATCGAAGCCTTTATTTGCAATATTTCATTTCATTTTTATTTATTAAACTTCCAACAATTAAACTGTTGCGGAGAACTAGACAGGTGACATTTCACCTATAGGATAGTCTCCAACAATGTCCGCATTTCAATCCCACAAGGCTAAACCCAGGATATGATGCTCTATGAAGTAGTTACCTTAATTTCAAAGGGTAAACTCCAAAAATCTTACTTCAGTTTTCGATATTCTGCGAACTCCGACATTTAAACAGCTTGCTCCAAAATTTTTTTTTTCTTTCACTACCGCCAGTCAAGAACATAAGAGGTACTGACTGATTATTTCTGATTGACATTAGCGAAGAATCAAAATTCAGGGTGCAGCTTACAACAACCGAGTTAACAGAATATCGAAAACCATAGTACAGATTTTTCTTTAAAATCTTTGAAAATTGTTTTTCAGACGTTACAGTGATGCAGAAGCGCCAAAACGACCTCTGCCACCAGATGAAGAAGACCGAGGAGGTGCTCCATTTTCTTCATCTTCATGGAAACGACTGGATAATGAACGTCCTAAGGAGGAAGAACACAGAGCAAGAGAGCCTGAGAGACGAGATTATGTCCCACAGCCAGCTGATGGTAATATCTTAATTCCTACATTTTGTCTCATGCTCTGATTGGACGAGAGGGTATCACGTGATCATAAAAGAGTTTCGACGTTTCCCCGGTAACGGCTCTCAACAATATGTTGTTGACCGGTAATAACGATACAGGAAGTAATTTCACCGGAAAACATCGCCTTCTCGGGCCCACAAAACACACTGTTGTTTTCTCGGTCTCAGTCAATAAATGTTTATTTTTAATCTTACAGTGACTCGAACCGAGGCAACAATGGACCTCAGCATGAAGACATGGGATTCTCTTTCACCCGGCAGGACTCCCGCTCGTGAGTCTCCCGGCAGCACACCACAAAGTCAAAGAAGAGAAAAACCACGAGATTACTTAGCGTATGTATTAGTATATGTAATAGGACTCCATGCTGTCCAATTAAGAAATAATTGGACGAAGAAAATTCCGAGGACTGACAAAATTGGATGTGGCCGTAGGCCGAGTCCAATTTGGCAGTCAGAGGAATTTTTCGAGTATAATTATTTCTTGATTGGGGAGCATGAAATCCCATTACCTATTAATTATATAGCTGCCTAATCAATCCCGTATCAACAAGACCTGTCCAATTAAGAAAATAATTGGACAGTTACCTATATGGGATTAATGAGAAGCTGTATAATTAGATAAAATAACAGTGCGCTATTCCTATCAATTTGTCATGATTGATAATAAGAAAAACAAGAAAAAGCACCAAATCCTTATCTTTTTTTGTTTTCATATATTGTTCAGTGAGAAAGACACAAAGGTAATTTCATTCCGTAAAGAAGGCAGCCTGGGAATTCAAATCCAGGGAGGTAACAAGACCGGGATCTTTGTTGCTGCAGTACGTGAAAGTAACCCAGCACATCGACAGGGATTGAGGCGAGGCGATCAGGTTCTAATGGTGAGTAATGACAAGCATGGGGTATATATATATCTTCTCGTAGAGGATACGATAGAGGCACAGTGTACTTAATTCAATACCTACTGTATTCTTTGTTAGATTCGTTCTATTGTATAACTTGGAATCTTTTGTTGTGGCTATTGAATTACATAGACTGTGTCCTCTACACGAAGTAAGAATCAAATTCTTACCTCTGGAGTCTCGGGATTGACTCTTGAACATGGCATTACTTGAGACTAGAGTTTGTCAGGTCTGCCCCTTGATTTGAGGGATTCGTATGGTTTCTCTGGTTTGTTAGTATTCTTTTCATTGTTATTGTTATTGTGTCGTTTATTTGTTTGTAAGTTTGTTTTTCTGCCAGTTTTGTTTGTTGTATTTTTGCCTTTTTTTGAGTCATTAAATATGCAGTAAAACTAAAAACTGAAAAAAGACCTTTTCCTATCAGGCAAATGACATTGACTTCAAAGACATTACACGCGAAGAAGCAGTTCTGTTGCTTCTGTCTCTTGGAGATGATGTCCGCCTTCTTGCGCAGCCAAAGATTTCAAGTAAGTGAACACATGGTCTCACCTTTTTCATCCCCCATTTTAGGGGCAACCTATTTAAACAAGCCGTCACCAGACAATTTTTCAATAACAGACCGTTTTCTCAAGGTTGCGTGCATATCCAACTTGACGGGCCACAAAACTGAAAAACGCAAAGTCGATAAAATCGAGAAGATAGTTTTATATTTAAGGAGGAGAATAATCGATTTTATGAAATCTTATAGACCAAATTCAAAACTCGCACCGATGTGAGGCTTAAGTTGTGAACAAAGGGATCTGGCGTGACTCAAAGTAATCTGGCGTGATTCAAAAGTCACGAATCACGCCAGATTACTTTGAGTCACGCCAGATTCTTTTGTTCACAACTTAAGCCTCACATCGGTGCGAGTTTTGAATTTGGTCTATCAAAAAAAATAAATTTAGAGCAATGCATGATAATACTCGTGTCCCTGTATCGTGGCCCGTCGAGTTCCTTAAATTTGGATGCGCACACAACCTTCACCTTCGTTTATTTATTTTCGATTGAATTTCTTTTTTGTAGCTTTTGAAAGAATTAAAAACAGCCCAGGAGACTCCTTTTACATCAAGTAAGCTAAACTTTTTTTCTGTGTTGTTTTATATATAATTATCAGGTGTAACTCTTTGGAATAGAAAGCACACTTTTGCTTGGGCATAACGTTTTCTTAATTCAGAGAATGTGTCATTTTATTGAGAATRTGATTCTTTGTTTGAGTCATATCCATGTTCATGTCTCTTCTCGTGCACAACTTTTAAACGAAGGAATGATGCTCTAAGGAATGACACACGGTTTGAAATAATACTCAAGGAAATGTGAAAACATTGCGCCATAGCTGAAAAGCATCCCTAGTAGAGAAAGAAATAATACTCAAGGGAATGACACATGGTATGAAATGGGAAAACGTTGCACTAAAGTTGAAAAGCATCCCTAGTAGAGAAAGTAATAATACTCAAG